CTACACTCAGAACAAAATCACTAGTGTAATTCAAAATCACGTTTCAAAGGCTCGGACTGAGAGGGCAGCTCACACACCTCCAGGGGGAATCTGGCGAAACCTCAAAGCCTGTGGCGCACGCACACATTTGACCAATCGCTCTTCTTCTGAGACGCGACCTAAAGGACACAAACACGCCAAGATGCTCATCCGAGTCAGCTGTAGTGTGCAAGTCTGAATACGAGCCCCTCTCTGATGAGGGGGAGCCACTGAATGAGCCGTAGGTAGTGCGTCCACCTGCGGCATTATGTTATGTTATGTTATGTTATGTATTTATTTATTTATTTATTTATTTATTTATTATTTTTATTTATTTTTTTATCCTCACCCGAGGATATTTTTCCATTTTTTGTTCAGACAGAGTTGGGGGGGGGGGGGAAAGGAAGAGGGAGAGAGAGAAACATCGATGTGAAAGGGACACATCGAGTGGCTGCCACCCGCATAACCAACCAGGGCCGGGGACAAACTGCAACTGAGGTACGTGCCCTCAGCGGGAACCGAACCCGGGTCTCTCTGGACCGCAGGCCGACGCTCTAACCACTGAGCCAAACCGGCCAGGGCCATCTGCGGCATTTTATGCAGCTGTCAACATTTGTTGAAAGAAGTCTTACTAGCATAGGAAAATGCTTACGCTAAATTGATTTCCTTTTAATTAAAAAATGGGTGTTTTTGCCTGGCTGGTGTGGCTCAGTGGTTGAGCGTCGACCCTGCACCAAGAGGTCCCAGTTCGATTCGCGGTCAGGGCACATGCCCAGGTTGTAGGCTCGATCCCCAGTGGGGGGCGTGCAGGAGGCGGCCAATCGATGTTCTCTCTCATCGATGTTTCTCTCTCTCTCCTTCTCCCTTCCTCTCTCTCTAAAATCAATAAAGAAAAACCATTTTTAATGTCTTTTTGTACTCATTGACTGAGAGACAGAGGGACTTGGCGCTCCACCGATCCATGTCTTCACCAGTTGCTTCCTGTAGGTGCCCGGACCTGAGATCAAACCTCCCACCTTGGCATGCTGGGACGATGCTCTAACCAACTGCCCGACCAAGGCTATGCTAAATTGAATTTTAAAAGCAAGGGAGAAACCTGCAGACAGTCTGATCACAAACAGAGAGGTTCTTGCCTCCTGACACCTGTGTTGCTCCCGCCCACCCTGCAGAGAGCAGACCTGAGTCACCACAGGATGGAGCAGAAGTGACAGGGTGTGACTTCTGAAACCAGGCCATCACAGGTACTGACAGAGACAGAAAACACAAAGTAGAACAGAGACTCCTAGGAGCTCTGGGGAGGGGGGGTGGGGGGATGGGAGTTACTGCCGAATGGGTACAGAGGTCCAGGTGGGGCTGATGGAAAGTTCCGGGGATGGATGGTGGTGATGGTTGCACAACAGTGTGGATGTACTTAATGCCACTGAATCGTACATCTAAGAACAGTTAAAATGGTAAGTGTAATGTTATGTGCATTTTGCTGCGATAAAAATTACTTTTAAGGGATTGCAGGGCTCTGGCTCTGGCTCTCCAGGACCGCACGGTGGAAGCCAGTGCCCCGTCGTGGGGGATGGACTCAAGCAACCCTGTGGAGGGCCCGGGGTGGAGCACCCCCGGCCTCCGCCAACAGCACTGACTGGCCGGTATGTCCGAGAGCCCCCGAGAAAGCCGATCCCGCAGCCCCGGACAAGCCCCCAGCTGAAGGCAGCAACCACATGAGATAATCATGTTAATTTAAGCCGCCAAGTTTTGGAGGAATCATTGTCCGGCAAAAGATAACCAGCGCACAGAAGCGCAGATCTGAGCTTCTTAAACCCTTCTCGGTTTAGACCATCATCTTGCTTTTCTGCAGCCACGTGGGTGCAGAAGGCTGAGACGAGCCCGTTCACAGCACCCCAACAGGAACACTGGACGGTGCAAGTCACAGGCTTCTTGACCCTGAGGGAGACCCGAGCTGGCTCCCTCTGAGGGCCCTTGGGCGTGCTGGGGGGAGCGGGAGGTGGAGGAAGGCTAGCCTGCTGTTCTGTCAGGTGGCCCTGGTGGCCTCTGTTCCCTGCCGTTCCCCTCGCTGGGTTCCTTCAGGGTTCCCTTTTCGCCTTTCTAGTCCCCCAGTTAGACCTGTTTCATCAGTTCCCTAGACCCAGTTCTTGTTTACAGCATGTTTTCTGTTTTCCTAACTGCCCTCCACTGACCCAACGCAGGACAAACTCAAGTCAGCTCATCGGTTACTGAGCCGGGTTCGCTCTGAGTGACGGAGGGAAGTCAGCTGGCTTCTGCCACCTGGGAAGGCTTTGTCACCTGCCCCTGCAGCCCCTCCCGCCTCCCACCACCCTCCCACCTGTGCTCTGGCTCCCAGTGCTCCTTCGACCCCAACTTGGCATTTCCCCATCGCCCACACCTCTGAGCCCGACTCCACGAACATCGGACACGGAGAAGGTGACGCACGTCGGCTTTGAGGAAGCCTGTGGAGAAAGCAGGACTCGGTTTTCTCTTTCTTGTTACGTGTTTGTTTTACCCCTTGGAAGAAACAATGAAAACAAAAAGGAATGGTGTATGCTCAAGCTGACTTTCTGCACGAGTTAATCTTTTCTTGCTGATGTTTCCATTTCTGTGGGAAGTCACAGGACAGGAAAGAGAAACCCAGGAGGTCAGTCTCATTTCTTTCCTACTCCGCTTCTTATCTCAAGTAAGTCACCAAGTCGCCTGCTTCTTCTACTCACTCAGAAGAGGAAGCATGCTGAAAGTGACCAGATGACAACTAGTGCCTGCGAGCACATTCACACATGCACACGCACATGCACGCACACCTAGGCACATGCTCACACAATGCATATTCACGCACATATGTACACACGCACATGCACGCACACCTATGCACACGCTCACACAATGCATTCATTTATGCACATATGTACACATGCCCACACTCACACGCATGCATGTCCACACATGTGTGTACACATGCACAGTTCACATGCACACACACATATGCATGTGCTTACACACATGCACATTCACGCACATATGCACACACAGCACATGCACACACATGCACAGGTTCTGGTCTGCATATTAATTGACCTAACTGAAATAATGATACTAACACTTCCAAAACTGTGTTTTACAAAAATCCGGGTGTCTTCGCAGCACTGGTATTGAGAAATCACAAAAATTTCACCCTCCACAGCTTTATTGTTTATAAACTGGAACCAAGTGAAAAAATGAGGATATACCTGCCACCTGAAGACCCCAGCCCCCCAGCAAAAAAACATAATTTAAAGAAACAAAACTTAGAGGATGACCCCATGCGACCACCACTCCACCCAGGCCCTGGGTGGGACGAGAGCCCAAGTCGAACACTGGTCCCCGGAGGATGAGAACACCTCAGCTGTCACATGGGCTGTGGCACTCTCCGAAGGCCTCAGCACAGAAACAGGTGTGCAATACAGCTGGGATGCTAGCCCTTCCTGGACGGGTAGTATTTCAGAGAAAAGTGTTAACAAGGCTACCTGGGGTGGGACAGGGACAGTAACAGAACAGGTCTGGCCTCACCGGTCTAGATGAGCTCGGACACCTGCTGCGTCCATTTTCTCGGGCACTCCCATTTTCTAATACATTCGGCAGCAACATCCTCTTATCTTGAGTAAGAAGAATCGGGAACAGAATCCAGGGGAGAACTCCATGCCGACTGAATCTGAACCCCTGTGAACAGTGCCTTTCACAAAAGCGAGTGCCAATGCTCCAGTCCATGTCGCCTTCACCTGACAACACACTGTTTGTTGGTGCTAAACAGCTTATGCATCTACCTCAAACCATCACTTTTCCAGGAAAAAAACGTGTTGCCAGCCACCCTGTTCCCTCTAGGTCAGTGCAGGCTCCCATCCATGTGAGAGAGACATATGGATTGGTTGCCTCCTGCACCTGCCCCGACCGGGGCTGGGGATTGAACCTGCAACCCAGGTACATGCCCTTGACCAGGAATCGAACCCACAAACCTTCACTCTGCAGGCTGACGCTCTAACCGCTGAACTAAACCGGCCAGGGCCTCTGGCCCTGCTTTATTTGGACAACACATGTGCACCTCCGATAAGTTCCTCTCTTATCTGTACCTCACATCCTCTGACAAGGCACTTCTGTAACCAAGGCCCTGCTAGTTCTCACCAGGGCAGCAGTTCTCAGCCTGGGGGTTGTGACCCCTTTGGGGTTCAAATGACCCTTTCACAGAGGTCACCTAAGATCATCGGAAAACACATATTTCCGATGGTCTTAGGCACCGAGACACCGCTCCTCCATCCGTCTCCAGGCGGGTCCGCCCACATGCAGACACGCCACGTACAGCATGAGGAGCTGTAGCAAAGGGTCGGGCATCAGGAGGTGAGAACCACTGCACCAGGGTTTTGGGTCCCAGCTACTGAGCACACCGTTACATCGACTCTGACCATTTTATAAGACGTTCCCGGTACACAGACCAAATGCACCCTCCCACGCACATAATTGTGACACGTGACTTCACACTCATCCACATCTGCTCAGTTCTAATGCTGCCCACCTGCTGTTCTCAGCTACTCCCGCCGACATAGACAAGGGCCTGAAGCAGGGTCCGTGCTGGGTGCTGAGAGCTAGCGGGATTTCAGAGCAGAGACTCTGCTTGTGGGAGGCAGAGCGAAGGGAGCCCTTCCAGCGATGCTGGGGCCCTGTGAGACCAGAGCTGCTGGCGTTGGGGAGGAGGGAGGAGCTGACATCGCTCCCGCGAGCTGACGGCAGGGACACTTCAGGGAAATGGGGCCGAGGAGCGAACTGCAACCCAAGGCGGGGGCAGCAGGGGCCGAGGGGCGGAGGCAGGAAACCGCGATCAGGTGGGCCAGGAGGATGGGGCGGAGGTCTACTCCCTCGTCCTATTGATTATATTCAGTAGCCGTAACTCAAATATTTTAAAACTAGGGGTATATTACTTTTAATTTAGAAAAGATTTTAAGAGCATTTACCTTCCGTTGGAAATTTCTTGGCTCGTTCCTCAAAAAACCATTCTCCAGTTTTTATTCTCACAGTTCTGAAAAACAAGCAGAAAGGAAGGTTGGCTAGGGAGGCGGACAGGCCGCGGCAGGCTCGCTGCAGGCAGGTGGAGTATCACAGAACAGTGGTCTCGCGCCCTGGCTGGTTCGGCTCAGCGGTTAGAGCGCCGGCCCATGGACCAAAGAGTCCCGGGTTCGATTCCGGCCAAGGACACGTATCTCGGTGGCAGTTCGTCCCCGGCCCCAGTTGGGGTCATGCGGGTGGCAACCAATCAACGTGTCTCTCTCATGCCAATGTTTCTCTCTCTCCCTCCCACTCTGAAGATAAATGTAAAAATACATACATAAATAAAATGTTTAACCTGTTTAAAAAATATATATTAGTCTTGCAAAGGACCTCAGAGTTCACATTTCTGGCCCAGCCCCAATTTTGCAGATTTCCCAGAGAGTTTGGTGATTTGGCTAGTTAGCAGCAAAGTGGGGACTCTCTGCTTGGGTATATTTTACCTTGTATGTAATGTGTACATGGAACATGTACACTTTAACCTATGCATGTGCCCAACACATGGTAAGTACTTAATGTTTTCTGAATAAATACATAAGGGGAAACAAAACTGCCATCGAAATAATCCATTTAATCGGTATACAGATGCTGTGTTATAAAGTTGTACACCTGAGATTTACATAATGTTGTTGACCAACATTGCCCTAATAAATATAACTTTAAAAGAAATAAAATGAAAGATAATAATTTATCATGTTTATGGTGGACAGCAATGGCATGAAGGATAAACTACCAAAAAAAAAAAAAATCAATGCTGCCCATCTGCTAGAAGGAAGATCATCCAAAGATCATTCTTAGCCTAGTTTGGGGTGAGCTTCAATTAACCATACCAGTTACCAAGAGCCAACAGAGAAGGTTTCCAGGAGGACTTAAAGTCTAGAAAATGGGATCCATGTGCTTCGATGGCGATTTGGGAAGCTGCGTCCTGGTGACCAGCCGAGAAAGGGGGACATGCCTCCTCGGCCAGCTGGCCTGGCAGGCCCTCCGCTCTCTCCTCCCTTCTCCGCCACAGGGAACAGCAGGGAGCCCTTGACATGCCCACTGCCTGAAACTCACGTCCTAAGAGTGTTTTACTCTTGACAGTTTCCAAATTTCTGGAGAAACCACCCTCAACCTCAAAGAACCCCAGAAAGGTAGAACTATTCATATCCTTTTAGGATGTAAACAAGGTAAATGCGCAGAAGTTATCAATTGTTCACGCCCTTAAAATAATGTGCCACACACGTGTCAATTCCTTTGTTATGTAAGAAACTTTAAAACCTCAACATATGGCCAGTTCTCTTCTATAGTTCTGAAATCAGTTCTCCATTAGATCCTTTTGGTTGTACATGAATGCGAGTGGGCTTTTTAAGTTAATGCTGTTTCTTGTGGTCTAAGACAGAGCTGAGCAGACCTTGCCCTATCTGTGTCCTCGTTAGGGCCAATACAGGGAAGTCTGACTCACATAACCAAAGGAAGCATTTCTCATGTCTTCCCACATGATTCATCAGAATCTGACTATGAACGCTTCTTGGAACAGTTTCTGAGCTCAGCAATGGGATAGTGACCACACTTCTCAAATAGAATCATGACTGACTTCCTTTAAACTTTTTTTTTTTTCCTTTATTGATTTTTTTTTTTTTTTTTTTTTTTTTAGAGAGAGAGGGGGACAAAGAGGGAGAGAGAGAGAGATAGAAACATCGACAAGAGAGAACATCGATTGGTTGCCTCCTGCATGCCCCCTGACTGGGCATGTGCCCTGACTGGGAATCAAACCGGCGACCTCTTGGTGCATCTCAATCATTGAACCACGCTGGCCGGGCCCTTAAAACTTTTCAAATCAATCAAAAAGTACATCTTGGAAAGCAAAAGCTAGGGTAGTAGAGAGAGAGAGCAGAAGACAGAGGCAGGAGGCCTAAGTGCTTCCGGTGTCTGACCTCTCCACTCACTCTGCCTGAGGGCTCTCCACTCACTCTGCCTGAGGGTCACTGTAATTATACCAGCAGGCGCTGGTTAAGAAACGTCTGGAGGTTCCAGCACCCATTTTCACAGCCTTGGGCTCTGCTGATGCTGTTGCTGCATGAGCAACTGAGAAATAACGGTTGCAGAGCACTTTGCAAATTCTAGCAACAGTGTGAAGAATGGACGACCTTAAAAGAGAGTCTGACCTCATCACTACCAGCAAGCAGGGAGCCAAATAGGCCCGCGGGCGCGCACTTCGCTGTGCATCCGGGCTGCTGACGTCTGAAGGCAGTAAACTGTGTGCTCTGACATCAGCATGGTGTCTCTGGGCTGCTCGATGTACTTTCCACCATTCAGTGGACAGAAAGGAAAGCTGATTGTAGTGAGGGTTCCCCGGCTGGATGAAGAAGCACATTTCCCATGTAGCTCTGCACTCCGACCTGTGCCCTGATGGCAAAGCAGCCCCCAGCGAGCCGAGTGGCTCGTCAGGCCAGCAAGCTGCAAAGACTCCAGGTGAAGAGCCACAGACTGAAACCGAGACCAGCTCCCTGCTTCGTGCTAGCTGTCCGACCGCGGATTCCCGGTTGAAACGGTCAGCTGCATGTGTACCGTTGAACAGTTTTACTTCGAATAATCTTGCATCTAAAACGGTTTTTACTTAGTGAGCAAAATAGTGAGTTTTTCTTTTTTGCACCAGCCCAGATGATTCGATTTCAATGTTCTTACAGGAAAAAAGACTGATCGTGGTGATTAAATCCTAGGTAACTGGGAGAGGAGTCAGAAGATCACGATGAAGATAAAAAAACGACTTCATCAAGTTGCTACCACCACTTCATGAAAACACTGATAAGTCTCCTTTACTTGACCTCAGAGAGAAGACGCCCCCCGCCCCCGTGTACCACTGGTGCTATATTCACAGCCGCACGCACAATGGAGGCCTGTGGCAAGGGCCAGTAAATAGATGTTGGTGAACGAATGACTAGCCCACGTCTGCAGGGAGCGCCCTGAGAATCGAAGGGATAAGTGGGACCCAACAGAGGTGGAGCCCTGTGACATGTGCAGAGTCTGTGCATCACGCCCTCCCGGCGTGCAGGGCCGACTCCCAGACCAGCAGCAGCTGTGAATGAGGAGAGTGGGCTGGGTGTGAGCAGATAGGGAGGGGTGGGCGCTGCGGCAAACTGGAGAACCCAGGCCCCGTGTTAAGACATTAAGATGCTAAACCTTAGCCATTGTGCAGGCCAAAGAAACAAGGCCTGTGGGCTGTCTGCAGCCCCCTGGCCACGGGTGTGTGACCGCCGGTTTGTTCCATCACGCGTCCATGAAAGTAAGAAAAACTGCAGCCGGACAGAGCTGTGCGTGTCGGGGCCTCGACAGTAACCATCTGGTTAGCTGCGGAGTGTCACCCCGTCTTCCCTGGAGCCCTAAGAAGGGCAAAGGACCAGGAGCAGCCACCGTCTACTGGCAAAAGCTCCACCCGGACATCTGAGGCCTCGGCCCAGAGCCTCAGACACGACGCCACAGGAGGAGAAACTAAGTCCTGAAGCTTGGGAAGTGCCTACTCTGTGCATGCACCACTGGGGGAACAGGGAAGGTTCCAGAAAGCGGTTAGTCTTCAAACACTTCGGGGGCCCGCCTCGGCCTCCACGGGAAGGACACAGAAAGGCGCGGCCGGGCCAGGCGAGCTCCAGGGCGGGCACAGCGACAGCAGGCGAGCTGTCACGGCCGAGAGGGCAGAGGGTGTCGGGAAGCGGAGCCAGACACGGGGCCACAGGAGCAACCAGACCCAGCTGGAGAAAATGGTGCCGCGTCAAGAAACAAGCCACCCCCAGCTCACGCCCACCAGAGACTATAAAACACCGCAGGAAGTAACCAGCTGGGGGCGGGGGGGCAGAGCCTGTGTGTTGGGGGGTAAAGGTGCGGCTGCTACGGGACGCTGTGGTGGGTCCTCAGGTAGAACCTCGAAATACCACGTGGTCTAGCAATTCACACGATAGCTCTAGGTTCTGGGTATATACACAAAAGACTGATATTATCGTTTCAACAGCATTATTCACAATAGCCAAAAGGTGGAAACAGCCCGAGTTTCCATCAACAGATGAATGGATGATATGGTATATACATACAATTGTGGTATATACATACAACTGAACATTGTTCAACCTTTAAAAAGGACAGTCTATACCTGCTACAACTTGAAGGAACCTTAAGGACCTTATGACGAGTGAAATAAGCCATCACAAAAGGACACATACTGTATGATTCCACTTCTACGAGGTCCCTGGAGTAGTGGAAATTCTCAGAGACAGAAAGTGCTGGGGACTTGGGGAGCAGGAAGGGGAGTTATTGTTTATTTTCTTTTTCTTTTTCTTTTTTTTTTATCCTCACCCGAGGATATTTTTCCATTTTTTGTACAGATAGAGTTGGAGGGAGAGAGAGAGAGAAACATCGACGTGAAGGGACACATCGAGTGGCTGCCACCCACACGACCAACCAGGGCCGGGGACAGACTGCAACCGAAGTACGTGCCCTTAGCGGGAACCGAACCCAGGTCTCTCCGGACCGCAGGCCGACGCTCTAACCGCTGAGCCAAACCGGCCAGGGCGGGAGTTATTGTTTAATGGACACAGAGTTTCAGGTTTGCAAGATGAAAAAGTTCTGGAGATGGATGGTAATGATGGTTGCACAATAATGTAAATGAACTTAATGCCACTAAACTGTACACTTAAAAATGGCTAAGATAGCCCTGGCCAGTTTGGCTCAGCTGTTAGAGCATCGGCCCGTAGACCAAAGGGCATGCAGTTCGATCCCAGCCCATCAATGTTTCTCTCTCTCTCCCTCCCTCACACTCTATTTAAAAAATCAATGGAAAAGTGTCCTTGGGTGAGGATTGATAGTAAATTTTATGCCATGCATATTTTACCACAATTAAAAAAAAAATGTTTAAACAAGCAAACCCAAGGGATAGGTAGCTCAAAGGAACATTCTTTAGTTCCTAAAAATCAATGTGGAGAGACTCACACTCAGGTCCTAGAA